GACTAACCGTTTTGCTGTCACGTGCCAAAAGCGGGGGTGGGGAGCATGGGGGGGGTTGAGCTTGCATGTGCCCACACCCATAATTTGATGCACCCTGCCCCCCCATGCATGCAAGTGCGACCTCCCCCACGCGACCCGCGCTTTTGGCATGTCATGGCCCGGTGGGCCTGGTAGGCCCATTTTTTGCCCTCCCCAGGCACCAGAGGCTTTCTAAGAGCCTGGGGAGGGCAAAAACGACCTTCCCCACCCCCCCAGGAGGCCCTCTGGAGGCCAGAAAAGGCCTGTTTCCCGACTTCCGGTAGGCCCAAAAGGCCCAAAAATCACCTGGCCAGCGCACGCACGCATGCGGGCTGGAGCTGAGCTAGGGCAACGCTTGCGTGCCCACAGATATGGCTCCGCGTGCCACCTGTGGCACACGTGCCATAGGTTTGCTATCACAGCTATAGGGTCTCTTGCATGAGCAGGGGGTTGGACTAGAAGACCTCCAAGGTCCCTTCCAACTCTGTTATTCTGTTATTCCCTGCCCGAAATGTAACCGTTGACTAAGAGTTTCCTTATTTTTCTACAGGATTTCTTACAGCATATTATTTTCATCAGACACATCAATCTGCATGTAAAACACCCTGTGATTCATACCTATTCACTTTATTATATGCTTCCTTTAAATCAAAGATGAACAAATTGTTTCTCGGATTTATACATTTCCCAGGGACCAAATGAAGAGGGAAAAAAATGGGGTCCACCCACACCCTGCCTAGCATAAAGCTTTATTTCCCAAATTTTGTTCATTGTCACTTTCATATTGTTTCAATCACAGTTGTGACGGTCTTCCCAGAACCAAAACTTCTTTGGTTTTCATATTCACCTTCTTTTAATCTTCTCCCTTTCATAGAGAGAAAATAGTGGCATTCTTTCGATTGTCTAACAAAGATGCCATTTTCATGCTGATATTATAAGCAAGCCGTACAGTCTCCATATGAAACCACATTTATATTTTAATATTTCCCCAGTTTCAACTTCTACATGGTGGTCCTACCATTTTCCAACTTTCTCACTGCATCTGTGACTTCCATTTCATATTTTTTTTAAAAAAAAAACATTACTATTTATGGCATTCATTTCCATTCTAATCGTCAAAATATCATTATCATTCCCATTTTTAATTTCATCCACCCTGCTGGAACCTTTTTTCCCTTTTTTTACTCACTTCCAGAAGATTCTTTTGTAAATTATTAAACTTAACTGTTCCTTGTTTTGTTTGTAACAGAATAACAGAGTTGGAAGGGACCTTGGAGGTCTTCTAGTCCAACCTCCTGCTCAGGCAGGAAACCTATACCAGGGGCGTCAATCTCAATTTCATTGAGGGCCGCATCAGGGTTGTGTTTGACCTGGGTGGGTGGGGTGGGTGACCAGTGGGCGTGGCCAGCTCAATGTCACTCATTGAGACTCCATTTTCAGGCGCAATGGCCTCCTGCAGCCCTCTACCAGGAAAACAGAACTCGGGGAGGCCATGTGCAGCCTGCCCGGGCTCCATTTTTGACCACGACAGCCTCCTGCAGCCCTCTGTCAGCAAAAATGGAGCTCAGGGAGGCCGCGGACTTGCCTCAGACTTTGCTTTTCTTTCGCTGCATTCAGTTCATACTCAGTAAAAGTACCTTTCTCTACAAACATGGAGTTGGGTTTTTTCTTTCTTGAGTTTTGAACGGAGGCACATCTGACACTTCCACAATTTTGGCCACTACTGTATAAATATTCTCCTTTAATGGACTCTTTTCTCCATTTGGTTCCTCAAGGACACCGTATCCTTGACGTCTTTTAGTAGAACCTGTGATAGGCACAAACTAAATTGTTAAGGAATATTTCTCTCCATCTGTTAAAACTCTAACTCTCCAACTTGCCTTTTATTTAGAAGCTCCCTTGTCTTTCTGTGTGAGCGTCATTAGGAAGTCTCACCTGTCTCCCTGGAGGATGGTTTGAATTGGTGGTGGGTTTCAAAATTTTTACTACCGGTTCTGTGGGTGTGGTTTGGTGGATGTAGCATAGCTTGGTGTGCGTGGCTTGGTGGGTGTGGCAGGGGAAGGATGCTGTAAAATCTCCATTCCCACCAACTCCCAGAATTCCCCAGCCAGCATGCTTTAAGAGGGATGGACTCCAACTCCCAGAATCCCCCAGCCAGCATGCTTTAAGAGGGGTGGACTCCAACTCCCAGAATCCCCCAGCCAGCATGCTTTAAGAGGGGTGGACTCCAACTCCCAGAATCCCCCAGCCAGCATGCTTTAAGATGGGTGGACTCCAACTCCCAGAATCCCCCAGCCAGCATACTTTAAGAGGGGTGGACTCCAACTCCCAGAATCCCACAGCCATCATCCTTTAAGAGGGGTGGACTCCAACTCCCAGAATCCCACAGCCAGCATGTTTTAAGATGGGTGGACTTCCACTCCCAGAATCCCCAGCCAGCATGCTTTAAAATGGGTGTACACTGTAACTGGCTGTGGAATTCTGGGAGTTGAAGTCCCCCCGTCTTACCATTGCCCAGATGGAGTAGCATTGCTGCCAGCCCAGCCTTCCTCTCCTCCTTCCAGTGGTGGGTTTCAAAATTTTTTACTACTGGTTCTGTGGGTGTGGCATGGCTTGGTGGGCGTGGCTTGGTGGACGTGACAAAGGAAGGATACTGTAAAATCTCCATTGCCTCCTGATCAGCTGGGACTTGGGAGGCAGAGAATACTGTAGATGGGAGCGGGGCCAGTCAGAATTTTTACTATTGGTTCTCCAAACTCAAAACTCAAAACTTCCGCTACCGGTTCTCCAGAACTGGTCAGAACCTGCTGAAACCCACTTCTGGTTTGAATGGTTTCCAATCCATATCTAGATGGAGAAGAGAAGCTTTGGGAACTGGATTTGGGAACATGGAACCGAGGGCTCATCAAATTAAGCTGTTTTGATTGTCAAGCTCTTTTGTTTCTTGGTCACTGTCTACTCAAATAAAGCATCCCACAAAAGACCTGCCTTGGGGTGAGGGTGGGGGGGTCTGAATCTCTTGAACCATAAAGGTGGGAAAATAAATATCACGGCTAGGAATAAAAATCATCCATCAAGGCGCTCAGTAGCGCCTGACAATGAGAGAGGTGTGAATCTCTCCTAAAAATAAATGTAAAAACGTCAGGTGCTACAGCTTTCTATAATGCACAGTGAAGCATGCCATAAAATATTACTTTGTCTCTCTTTTCCTGACATGCTTGGATTAAGAATTTTTTTTCTCCCTCCATATTCTGGATGGGGGGGGTATTCATTCACTCTTGCGGCTTGGCTTTTAAGAGGTGAAAGGAAAATTCAGTTTTATTTCCAGACCTAGCACTGTGCCTCAATGTGCACATGTGCTTTAATGGAGACCGAAATTGGCCTTTAAATCGGCATTCAATTTAGCTTATTCACCGTTCAGATTGAGAAAATGGATATTTACTTGGCAGCTATCTACTTTTTTTTTTTTTTTAGAATAAAAAAAAGTCAATTGGCCTGCTGTTGGCAAGGGAGCAGGATATGGCAGGTCCATGATCGAGTAGCTAGATGGGAATGGGCAATTTGGCCTGCTAATGATGGAGAGTTTAGGTGGGAATTTGACTTATTTGTGAGTCGGCCTAGATGGAATTTGCCTTACTATGATTCAAATGGTAGGGTGTAGTGGAAAATTTGACTGGCTATGATTCAGAGGCTAAATAAAATTCGGCTTACCTGTGACTCAGACACAAGATTGAACAGAGGAATTAGGCTTATTAATGATTCATATAATAAATTCTTTCCTCTGTGCCATCTTGAGATGTTATGTTAGCCTTAGACTTTCAATGTCCCCTGAATATCACTGGGCAGGAATATAGTTTAATAATGCATAGATAAAGGTCCCTTGTTTAATTCTTACAATTTCCAAGTAAACTTATTATTTGGGGAGACATGATAGCAGTGTTCCAAAATCTCAGGGGTGGCCACAAAGAAGAGGGAGTCAAGCTATTCTTCAAAGCATCTGAGGGCAGGACAAGAAGCAATGGGTGGAAACTAATCAAGGAGAGAAGCAACCTAGAACTAAGGAGAAATTTCCTGACAGTTAGAACAATTAATCAGTGGAACAATTGCCTTCAGAAGCTGTCAATTCTCCAACACTGCAAGTTTTTAAGAAGATATTGGATAACCATTTGTCTGAAGTGATGTAGGATTTCCTGCCTAAGAAGGAGGTTGGACTAGAAGATCTCCACGGTCCCTTCCAACTATTCTATTCTATTCTATTCTATTCTATTCTATTCTATTCTATTCTATTCTATTCTATTCTATTCTATTCTACTCTACTCTACTCTACTCTACTCTACTCTACTCTACTCTACTCTACTCTAGTCTTAGAAGCAAAGCTAAGAGAGACTTTCCTCTTCCTGTGGTTGTTTGTTTGTAGAGAATTTTTTCAGTGGCAATAGAAAGCAAACACTATGTAAAAATTATATGGTCAGGAAGATTAGAGCCAGAAATAAAGACCATATATAATTGGTCAGCATCTGAAGGCAGGACAGGAAGTAACAGGTGAAAGATCATTAAAGAGAGATCCAACCTAGAACTAAGGAGAAATTTCCCAACAGTGAGAACAATTAATCAGTGGAATTGCTTATCTCCAGAAGTTGTGGGTGCTCCATCACTGGAGGTTTTCAGGAAGAGCTTGGACAGCCATTTATCTGGAAGTGTAAAGGGTTTCATGTTTGAGCAGAGGGGTGGATTAGAAGACCTTCAAGGTCCCTTCCAATAGTATTCCATCTTCAATATTCTGTTTGTTCATTCAAAAGATGGATAGACTAGTTATCCCTTTCCTTCCTTGTTGGATACACTAGCAGGACAGCCAGGATACGTTGATGGTGATTTTGTATACCTGTTGATGTGATTCAAGGGAAAATGGGTATCATAGCTTCTAATGTCTGCTTTCAAGACTGACTCTTGTGTGTCTCTTCTTTGTTTTATTTTTCTACTAGGTCTGTCAAAATCCTTGGGGCTTATTGAAGGCTACGGTGGTCGTGGCAAAGGTGGCTTGCCTGCCACTCTTTCTCCAGAGGAGGAAGAAAAAGCCAAGGGACCCCACGAAAAATATGGCTACAATTCCTATCTCAGCGAGAAAATATCCTTGGATCGCACCATACCAGATTATCGTCCAACTAAGTAAGTCGGAGATTTTCAAACCAGAGAGGAGAAACAGTTCTACTATTTGGAATAGTGGGGCAGTTGTTTCTAGTTAACAGATATTGGGATAAGGTGGACCATATTGAAGGACAAGAGTTGCCTGCTTCCTGATCCAGGTCCCTTAAAAGCAAATTGGTTTCAGTGATAGAGTCACTTTATGTGATCTGCAAAGTCTTGATGACCTGCAGATACTTGAAGAGAGATACAAGAGAAGAGCTGATTGCCCTCCTCATTGGCTTGATATGTGGAATATCTTAATTTTTCCCCCCTGCAACAAGGTCTACATGCAAAATCATTGGTTTGAAATGCCATTTTGGTTTGGTCTCTGGTTTCTGCTTATATACTGAGTGTTTTCCAAATAATAGATTTGGACCCACGCCAAATCTTCTAGTTAGTGTACAAAGATCAGTGCATCAAGTGTGAACATGCTCAGAGGTGGTATTCAGCCAGTTCGTACCGGTTCAGGCTGTCCCGGCTCTATGCCAGCCTATTTAGGCACGTTTTCAAGGCCGAGCGCATGTGTGGAAGGCGTGCACGAACTGGTGGTAAGAATACTGAAAACCCACTGCTGATGGTGATGATAACTGTAATATTGATTATGAGCAGGTAAAAGAATATAAGGTAAATTTCTTCTTCTTCTTCTTCTTCTTCTCCTTCTTCTTCTTCTTCTTCTTCTTCTTCTTCTTCTTCTTCTTCTTCTCTTTCTTCTTCTTCTTCTTCTTCTTCTTCTTCTTCTTCTTCTTCTTCTCCCTCCTCCTCTCCTCCTCCTCCTCCTCCTCTCCTCCTCCTCCTCCTCCTCCTCCTCCTCCTCCTCCTCCTCCTCCTCCTCCTCAAGTTTGGGGACACATTAATATCAGTTCACTCTTAGTTAAAATTCTAAAATGTTGGGCCCAGGAACCACCAGCAGACAATCTAAGTCTAGGCATCCGGAGAAGATCTGATGGGAGTTTTCCCTCCTTGTGAGGACATAATTGTATGCACTATGCAACAGATCTTCTGAGCTTCAGCCACTATTCCCCACTTGGAAGACTATCCTCTCAGAAATATGGTATGTAGCCACGGTGGTGCAGTGGTTAGATTGCAATACTGCAGGCTACTTCTGCTGCCTGCCGGATGCCTGCAATTTGGCGGTTCAAATCTCACCAGATTCAAGGTTGACTCAGCCTTCCACCCTTCCGAGGTGAGTAAAATGAGGACCCAGATTGTTGTTGGGGGCAATATGCTGACTCTGTAAACCGCTTAGAGAGGGCTGTAAAGCACTGTGAAGTGGTATATAAGTCTAAGTGCTATTGCTATGTTCATCCCTACTTACTGTAGAATTCAAAAAGAAATTAAAAGCTGCTGGATTGAGTGCACTGGTGGTCCTTCGCTATCTTTGGTGTCTGGTGTTTCACTATTTTTATTTGGTTTTGATATGGTATATTTATCTTCTTGTTACTTGCCCAGAGTCTCCTGGTATGATGAATGAAGTCTGTATTCCCAGGCAAGAGGGGCTGAATTCCAGAGAGCAAAGAGGCAGCAAATCATGGAGAGTTTGGTCTGGAGAAAGAGGGTGCTTTAACCTAATTGCTGGGCTCCTTCCCAGCAATTCTCAGAGTACATCTATAGTTATGCTAATAGTTGCTTTGATTTGGCAAGATTCTGTCTAAAGGTGTGGAACAATAAAGGAAACTGCTCAGGAGTAACTCGACGTCTTTCCTGGTTCTTGGGGGATGTTAGCCATAAATGTCAGCAAGATCTTTTAGTGTGCCTTGCCCAAATAGGATTTGAATTGGAGGTTGGAAGATGTTGGAAGCAACTTAGAAAGATACAGAATCGCTTTGTATACAGTTCAGACATACTGGGTTTAGAATGAGCTCTTTTATTGTTTAGTATCTTCTGACTCATCTGTGATAAAGCTTGCATCATATAATGCATCAGTAACATTATATGTATCATGTAGCATTTCATAACATCCCATAATACTCTTAGTATGATCTTATTAATGCTCATCCTGAGCACGGCGGCGTAGTGGTTAGAGTGCAGTACTGCAGGCTACTTCTGCTGATTGCCAGCTGCCTGCAATTTGGCAGTTCGAATCTCACGGTGACGCTGTGGTTAGACTGCAGTAGTACAGGCTACTTTTGCTGACTTCTGACAGCCTGCAATTTGGTAGTTCAAATCTCACCAGGCTCAAGGTTGACTCAGCCTTTCAACCTTCAGAGGTGGGTAAAATGAGGACCCAAATTGTTGGGAGGCAATATGCTGACTCTGTAAACCGCTTAGGGCTGTAAAGCATTGTGAAGCAGTATATAAGTCTATTGCTATTGCTATTGCTATCCTCATATTCAGTAGGTGTGGCTTTTACATTATAATGAGGCATAATGAGTTTACTAGAGTTCAAATCTATGTACAGTCCTTGTCTTTAGCAGGTTTCAGCCAGTTCTTATCAGACTTTCCATTCCTCATGGAGAACTTGATTGTTATGTCGAAGAACTAGTAACATTAATCAAAGAAACTCCTACTTACTGAAAACACTACTCCGCCATGGTGCAGTGGTTAGAATGCAGTACTGCAGGCTACTTCTGCTGACTGCCAGCTGACTGCAATTTGGCAGATCGAATCTCATCAGGCTCATGGTTGACTAAGCCTTCCACCCTTCTGAGGTGGGTAAAATGAGGACCCAGATTGCTGGGGGCCATAGGCTGACTCGGTAAACCACTTAGAGAGGGCTGTAAAAAGCACTGTGAAGCGGTATATAAGTCTAAATGCTATTGCTATTGCTACTCAAAGAGGTCCCCCTCTCCTGCTCTCATCAGGGGCAACCGACACCTGGCATAAGAGCTAGATATAAGTATTGCAGATCAGTAAAGTAAGTGAAGAGAGTCACATCTGCTTTGTAGGCTTCCCAATCTAGTGCATTTTTTGGAAAATCCATATGAGTATCTATAGCAATGGGCTCAAAGGCATGACAGTCCCAGAGGTCATTAGTTGCAGAAAGAGCATCAGCAGCTTTTTGGTGTGGTTTATGGTAATGCAGAAGCTTTTCTCAAAGTGAAATGGGGCAAAGGCTCCTTAAGGAAGAGTCTACTGGGTCACAGAAAAGCAAGTTGAGAGGTCCTCGGAGAGCCCCCGCCTCAACAACCTATCCAAGGATGTCAAACAGCTTTACCAGTGGATCTTAGCGTTGCTGATTGATCAAGAGAAGTGCTTTGCTCCAGGCATCTACTGTATATATTTCATCTTAGCATAACAACATAGGCCTTGAATCACAATTTCTTTTCTTCAAAAGTGGGAAAAAGAAGAACTTTTGTCTAACCTCATAAATGTTTTAAAATGACACCGGCAGCCTCTCTTCACATTCAAGCTGAGTCTTGAGTGACTGTCATTCTGGTCTGTTTTTTTTTTTATTTCAACGTGTAGATCATCTCCCCAAAGGTGAGATTAATGCACAAACACACCTCATTGTTTGGATTGGTGCTGTTGTGAGCAGCCGATCTCATTCTTTTTATTTTGAGCGTTCATGACATGAGTACCATCGGTAATGCATACCGAATGGCATCAATTGTGTATAAGGATGGGGGAATTTGAAGGTTTGTAAAAAAAAAAAAATGTAATTTGTAAAATAGATATGAAAAGCAATGCCCGTTGGAGACTCCAAAGCAATCCTCAGAGAATTGTGTGTGATTAGGAATCATGGTATATGAACAGACTATGGTGGAAAAAATTAAAAGATGCTTGCTCCTGGGGAGGAAAGCTATGGCAAAGCTAGACAGCATACTAAAAAGCAGAGACATCACCGTCCCAACAAAAGTGCGTATAGTCAAGGCTATGGTTTTCCCAGTTGCAATGTATTGCTGTGAAAGTTGGACCATAAGAAAGGCTGAGCGCCAAAGAATTGAGGCCTTTGAACTATGGTGCTGGAGAAGATTCCTGCGAGTCCCTTGGACTGCAAGGCGATCAAACCGGTCAGTCCTAGAGGAGATCAACCCTGACTGCTCTTTAGAAGGCCAGATCCTGAAGATGAAACTCAAATATTTTGACCACCTAATGAGAAGGAAGAATTCACTGGAGAAGAGCCTAATGCTGGGAAAGATTGAGGGCAAAAGAAGAAAGGGACGACAGAGAACGAGGTGGCTGGATGGAGTCACTGAAACAGTCGACGTGAGCTTAAATGGACTCCGGGGGATGGTAGAGGACAGGAAGGCCTGGAGGGACGTTGTCCATGGGGGGTCCATGCGATGGGTCAGACACGACTTCGGAACTAACAACAACAACATGGGGAAAGTGAGTCATGAACCGTGGGAGGGAAGAAATATAGTGAAATTTTCCAGGAAAGGGCATAATTGCCTAACTTGAAAAATAATCCATTTCATCACAGGTCCTGCTTATACTGTAGCAAGTGCAGTTCTGCTTTGGAGGCAGATGTTTGAAGCAAATGGGTCTTTGAATCTTGATTGCTCTCTGGGTAGGTAGTGTGGCACACAACTGTGTCGGTGTAATTGGCCTGTTGTTGATATGCAAGGATATATTTATCTGTCTCAAAGTCTCCCTCTCCACTTTATTTTATCCCTTTCGGATATACATCTCACCTCTACACTGTGTGAGGGCCTGTGCGTTGATTCCAATCATGTGGAATTCACAGTCTGCTCTTATGTGGCTGGCAGATATCGAATTGGCAATTTCAATATAGTTGGAAGACATGCATTGCTTTTCTTTCATCGAGAAAGAAATTGGTTAAAATAGGTTTTCAAATAGGAAAGCAAGCAGTTGTGCAGCAATGCAATTTATAACAGGGAAACTGAATTGCATGGGGAAGATAACTTTATAAAGAAAATGAATATGAAGAATATTATAAAATAGTTGCTTGATAGCAAGATGGGTGGTATATAAAGTTAATAAATAAATACTAGAAAGTAGTAAATGAATTAGATCTGGGTTTTCTTCTAAACACATTTTTATTTATTTGTATTCTGCCTTTATTATTTTTACAAATAAAT